CCAGGCATTGAACCGTTGCTCAGAGCTCGCACTCTTGAGCGAGCTCTTAACCAACTGAGCCACTCGGCTGGCCCTGTATACCTGTGTTTATAGCAGCATTATTTACAATAACCAAAAGGTGAAAGCAACCCAAATATTTATCAATGGCTGAATAGATAAACAAAATATGGAATATAGTTACACTGGAATATTATTCAGCCTTGAAAAGAAAGGACATTCAGACATATGCTACATCATGGATAAACTTTGAGAACATTAAGCTAAGTAAAATAAGCCAGTCACAAAAAGACAAATACCATATGAATCCACTTATATGAAGTACCTAGAGTAGTCAAATTCATAGAGACAGAAAGTAGAATGGTGGTTACAGGGGCTGAGGGAGTTACTTAATTGGTTTCACTTTTGCAAGATAAAAACAATGTGAATGTTCTTAACACTATTGAACTGTACACTTAAAAGTGGTTAAGATAGTAGGGTTGATGATATGTATATTTTACCACAATAAAAAATTAAAAGAAGACATAACACCTAGATTTTTCTATTAGTAATTTAGATTTATAAGCCTTTCCTAAATTGTCCCCACTTTCAGTTTGAAGTTTTCTCATTTTTTCTTTTGGTAAATAGAAATGTAAATAGAAACAATATATATTTTAAAGGCTTATTTTAGATAATAAAATATTAAAAAGGGAGAAATTAAACTTCCTCCTAATCCTATCACCTATAGATAAGTGTCGATATTTTGGAGTGTATTCTTTCAGACTTTTCTATGTATGTGGTTATATTTATAGACAGGAATATATATCAAACCATACATTCTATTTTGTAGCATACCTTTTTCATCCAACAATTTTTGTGATCATCTTTTCATATATTAGCTGTTTCTACCCCTTTATTTTAAATGGACACATAGCATTCCATTGTATGAATGTACCACAATTGACAGTTCCCTATTGTTGATGTTATTTCCAATTTCTTATTACAATAAGCAATACTGTGAATAACATCCTTGCAGCTAAATCCTTAAACTATGTCCTTGTGATAGTGTATAAAAATGGAAATGATGAGAACATGCATCTTTTAGGGCTTTTGCTGTGCATCGCCAATCTGCCCTCTGGAGATCAATACGTTCACGTGCTTGTTTCCCAGACTAATTCTCTTTTAGCACTTTTTTGTGGGGGGAGGAGAACATCAGTTTAAAAGACTTGATAAACAATGAACTGATTTTTTTCTTTCATATAAGAAAATTATTCTTGGTTGTTTTTTTTTTACAAAAGAATTTACAACAAGATGCCTTTAAATTTTGAGTTTTTTCATGTATTTAATAAAAACTCCATAATTTTAAAAAACAGGTCTATTTTGAATAAAGGGTAGGCCAGCTGCTCTTTTTTTCTTTCCTTGCTATAATCTTACTCTGAGAACACGCCCCTCGAACACATTTAGCTCCCCTGTCCTGGCGTGAGAAAGGAGCCCAAGAATCAGGCCTGTCACCCAGGCTTTGTCTTCTGCCCAGGTTGTGACCAAGGACCTGTTCATAATGGAGGTAGACGCCGTCTGCTACTACCGAATGGAGAACGCCTCTCTTCTCCTAAGCAACCTTGCCCACGTGTCCAAAGCTGTCCAGTTCCTTGTACAAACCACCATGAAGCGTCTGCTAGCACATCGATCGCTCACTGAAATTCTTCTAGAGAGGAAGAGCATTGCCCAAGAAGTAAAGGTACTTCGATCAAGTTAACATTGGGGGTGTCGAGATATCTCCTTATCTTTTATTCATTTCTTCACTGGCCATGTATTGCATCTTCCACATGCCAGGCATTGGCTGGTGAAGGTGCCACCCCCTAAGGAGCTGGGTGCTAAGTCAAGGGTTGCCAAACTGGCCCTGAGCCAATCCTAGTCACGAGTCTTGCCTCCACCCTCCTCCAGCAGCTTTCAACCCATTGTCAAGTGTCCACATAGCACAAAATGGGGGGAGTGGGAGCTGGTGAGGGTGTGGGGGGCTGGACAGGAGGGGTCAGTGACTGCAAAGATGATAAGGGATAGTTCCTGGGAGCTTACAGTCTAGCTGGGAAAACAAACTTAAATAATGATAAGTTCAAGTAAGGCTTTTAGGTAAAAAGATGTCACATCTAGATTTGATTGATGTGGAATCAGAGGAGGGAGGGAACTGCCAGAGCTGCCTCATGACCAGCCTCATCTGACCCAGCAAGCTCAGCAAGCTTGCCCACGGCCAGGGCAGGCGTCTCTCATTCTTACCAAGACAAGTTGGCAAAGGTATTAAGAAGAGAGGCGAGGACAAAGCAGGGTTGCACACAGCTGGCCAGTCAAGTGGCAGTTAGCACCAGTGAGAAGCTGCCATTGGGACTATGCGGCACCCAGGCCCAGGACTGAGTTAGGAGGTCGCGAATCATGACTAGCTGAATGGGTGACCTCCAAGGGAGGATAAGGCTCAAAGGCACTGATAGTGATTGTGCTTGAGGGGACCCGAGCAGACACCGATCTGAGAAAATGAAGTAGTCAAATGTCTGTGAGTTGTCTGACCTGTTGCTGATAAAACAGTGATTAGCATCCTGGTGGAAAAGGGAAGAATTCAGGAAATAAGAGAAGCTAAAAAGAGAAAATATTATAGCACAAAGGACACAGAATTGCTGCCCTGGAATTTAAAAACCCCGAGCATGTTTCCCCTCTGTCTCCGCTTCAGCCTCTCTGCCTGTTCATCCCTCCCCTCTAACGGATAAAGGATAAGGCCCAGACTCTCGACATTCAAGCTTGCCTTGGTCCATGGGATTATAATCTATGTAGTTATACATTTGTCCTCCCAGATGATGAACTCTCTAATGGCAGGGGTCATTATTTTGTTCATCTCTTTGTCCTCAGTGCCTGGCACAGGGCTTGTCACATAGCAGCCAGATCATGTTTTTTGCGTTGAGTGAAGAAATGCCCCAGCGGTTGCAGGCCTCACCTCTCACTGTCCCTTTCCCAGTGTATCTAACACCGCAGCCTACTTAGCGTTCCTCCAGCTTCCATGACTCGTCTTAGGCTGTCTCCTTGCATGGTCTACTTCCCTGTTCCCCACAGGCAAAAATCCTAGTTGTTCTTTAAGATGCCACCTACTCTGTGACATCTTTTTCAACATTCCTTCCTTTTACCAACCCCCAAACTAGTCAGTCTTCTCAGGGTTCTCAACGCACTAGGTTACTACGAGTATTTAGCCACTAAGAAATCATCAGAAATAATTGAAAAGGAAAAAATATGGGCCCACATGTGGAACTCCATGCCTTGCCCCTTTTTTCCAGAACCCACAGTTAATCTTCTTCCACCTCCTGGACTGGGACGTGGAAGAAATGGATGCCACCAACAGGAAGGATGTGAAAGGTGTACATAACAGCCATCTGGGAGAGAGACTAGAGACTCTGGTTCTCTAATAAATGCATTTTAAAACAGATTTCACAAATATGCCATCTGTATTATTCCTACTGCTTCTAGAACAAATTACCATAAACTTGGTGGCTTAAAACAACACCAGTTTAATTTCTTACAGTTCTGAAGGCCAGAAGTCCAAAAGTTTCCATTTCACTGGGCCAAAGTCAAGGTGTCAGCAGGGCTGG